TGAGAAGCATCGGGTGGAGGTGTGCCATCATGTTGACCCTCCTGAAGCCATCAGGGACCCTAGAAATAGTTGCTGGGCTTGATAGTCAGTTCAGGATTTGGACAACTACAAATGTCAGAACTTGAACTTCGCCATGGTTCCCACCGAGGAATCTGAGGCTTTATGATTAAGGATTGAGGATGTAGGAGGTCAAATGCTGGATCTGGAAGTTCGGATCTGCCAGTGCTTATGTGGCCACTGTGTTTAGAGACCCATAGGTCTTGTGACAGGCGCAGGCCCAGGCAGGAGCTTCCCAGTGCTCCCACACATGTGTTGTGACCTCACAGGGCTGGGACGATGGTCCTGAACACCCCGTCCTGGTTTATGAGACTGTGACTTAGCTAAAGGACTCACCTGCTTGGTCCCTGCTTGGTGGGCAGTGGTTGGGGAGAATTACTTAGCCAGATTGTAAGTACCACCCAAAGCAATGACCGGGAAACAGTGGGCCTCTAAATTCCCATGTTGCTCCCCCCTTCCTAGCATACTTAGCACCCCAAGGGAGGCAGGGCTGGGGTGGCAGTGGTAGATGGTTCCAAGGTGTCCACACAAGCATATGGAAATGCCACAGGAGGTGGGGCAGCCCCCAAGTCAGCACCAATGGAAGCAGGATAACTTTCCCCTTGGAAAGAAAAATAGCATCAATTAGCTGGAAATTGCTTCCTGAAAAGTGAAAAGCAGGCAAGTACGTGTTTCTTTCCATCCAAGCCCATCACAGTAGGGTGGCCGTACAGTGCTTGGAGACCCAGCAGTGTCAAGGTTGCCTGCCCCCACCAGTGCCCCTGAGGAAGGCAGTGGGCGATATCCACATTTTGCTCCTTGGCTTGCCTGCGAGGAGAACGGGTTGACTGCCTGACACCATGAGTGGTGAATGAGTGTAGAGGGGTACTGTAGCCAAGACAGCCCCCAGGCTGTTCAGGTTCCCAGGAGCAGAAGATTTTGGCTCCTGTGAGTAAGCGCCACCCTGCCTCCCTGCACCACCTGCCACGGAGTGTTGTCACTTGCGATCCTGGGTTACCCTGTGTCTCAGTCTCCCGAGGCTGCATAACAGAAACACCAAATGTGGGGGCTTCAGGGAACAGGAACAAATTGCCCCACAGTTCTGGAGGCTAGAAGTCCTCCACTGTGTCAGTTACTTCTTTGGGCCCTCTCCTCATTTCTGGTGTCTGCCAACCATCCTTTGCATTCCTGGGCTCATAGTTGGCTCCTCATGTGATGTCACACTCAGAAAGGATTCTGTGCCAAGGGAATTTGGCATCAAAGCCACGAGCATCAGCTTACCCAGGGCTCATGGGGCCATGTTCTGAAAGTGGATGGCTCATCATTCGTCACCAAGAATACAGTGACGTTGGGGATTATGGCATGAATGGTGACTGTGCTGGAGGCCTGGTTGTCCTACAGGCTGTCAAATCAGAGGAAGAGCCATGTGGGGCTCTGCGAGGCCTGCGTCAGTGGTAACCTGTGACACCTGTCCCTGTGAGTTATCTGCCACCATCCTGTTCCCATGAGTCTTTGTGGCCAGTGTCAGTCTGGCACCTTCTCCGCCCTGGAACACCCTGCAGAGCATGCCTATGATAAGCAAAGACTGCCTGAGCAGCCCCATCACATGGGCAAACAATCCCTCCAAACTGGACCAAAGCCCTGCGGTCGCATCAGCACCTCCCTGCAGCTCCCACCGGCTCTGTCCTCAGTTCTGTCACTTTTCTCTGGTCTCCTCTGGGAGAACATGGCTTCCTGGAGGCAGGCCCTGTCTCACTCATTTTTTACTCTTCCAAGGGGCAAAAACACCCCACACAAGGGAGCTTATGATAAATGTCTCCAACTAAACCTTCACACACTGGCCTGGGAAGGGAGATGGCTTCCTGCGAATGACGAGAAAGGGTCCCAATGTGGCCAGTGCTCTGGAGGCTCTGCTGTGGGAAGAATGACTCGACCTTGTGCTGATGGGGCATCTCCACTCCATTCGTTTGGGAAACTGAGAAATCAAGGCTGAGAAGGCACAGTCCCGTGTACAGGGCGTCCTGGCCAAGACACTGTTTCATGCACAAATGTGGTGCACCCACAGGCTGAGACACAGCCCATGTGAGACCAGTGAAAGATGGAGAGGTGGCACCAGGGAAGGAAGGTGCTGCCCATGGCCTCTCTGTGTTGGCCACCCGGGCCTCTACGAACGGCTTTCTCTGAGTGGTCCTGACCGTTACCTATCTGCCATTGGTTAATTGTCCCACCCCAACTGAGAGCCCTAGGCCAGGCTGTGTCTGCAGGCATATGAGAGCTCTAACATGCACGAATGCACATACATGCTCACACACGGGTATACAGGTTCACGTGTACTCACATGTGCACACCTGCACACATGCTCATGCATACACATGCAACATACATGCACACCTGCCCATATATATTCACATGTATGTTCACACATGCACATACACATACACATACACACACGTACATAGTAAATCCTTGCCCCAGTGACAGGTCCTCAGCACCCACAGGCCATTCCTGGATTCCCCACATCACAGATGTTAGCCACAAATCCCCTGGAATGGTCCCCAAAGCTGCCCAGCAGGTCCTCACTCTTCCCAGTGCCAGTCTGCAGCACAGGCCCCTGGTGCCACGATCCCACAGCCATGATACAGCCTTGAGCTGGCCTCCACTGTGGTCTAGCCCACTCTGCAGATCTGAGTCACATCTCAAGGGCACCAATAAACTAGAGAGTGCTCAGAGAGATGGCCAGGGACCCTCCTGGGTGGAATGGCGGCCTCCAGAGGGCCCAGAGTGGTGGCCTATCAGGGTGGACTGAGCAGCAGCATCCTGCACTATGCCCTGAACCCTTGGGCATGCCCAGTGTGCAGCTGGGGAAAGTCCAGCTCTGTCTTTCTGGAGCTCTGTGCTAATGGAAGGCCAGGCCTTGGGGAGGGCTTGGAGGCTTGAGCCTTTCAGGAGGAAGGACTCTGTCCAGGTTGGAAAGAGCTCATGCCAGCTGGCAAGCAGCCCTGATTCCTGCCCACCTGGCCCCTACTGGCAGCCCAGCCCTTCCTTTAGTTGAGGATTGCTGTCATGTGCCAACGCCACTGCCTGTTGTCTCACTACTCGCCTAGAGGCAAGAGCTCCGGCCGGGCCAGCAGCCATGAGCCAGGCTGTCGACCCCTCTGACTCTGCCCAGGCTTTGAGATCCCCTCCCACAACCACTCCTCACCATTGCCCTACTCCCTGAAATCTGGTCCACAGTGACCTTGTGTCCAAAGAGCCCTTGAAAATAATTTTTTTCCCCATCTTCGGGTGTCGTTCCTTTAGGGAGTCTCTGGGTGGTATAGTTAATGTGCTCAGCTGCTAACCAAAAGGTTGGTGGCTTAAACCAGACCAGAGGTGCCTCGGAAGAAAGACCTGGAGATCTGCTTATGAAAAACCAGCCACTGAAAACCCTATGTCACTGCAAAAACAACAACAGCATAATATAGGGAGGCAGGAATGCATTGACAAGATGGACACAGGGAAAGGGCAACCACAGGGAGGAAGTGGGAGGTGAGCTGTTATGCTGTAGGGAAAGTAACCATTACCACAAAACAAAACGTGTATGTGAACTCTTAAATGTAAAACTAGCCTGCTTTGTAAAATTTCACCCAGATCACTATAAAAAGCGTAAAAAATAAAAACCTATGGAGCACAGTTCTACCCTGACACATAGGGGGTCACCATGGGTCAGAGTCAGCTCGATAGCATCTGGACTGAATGGCTCTTAGGGCTCCAGACTCCCTAAGGCCACTCACACAGCCCTCTCTGCCCTGTGGCTCTGTAAGTCCATGGCCTCCCTGGCTTCCCACAGGCCTGTAGTCTGTCCTGTGAGAGGTCCTGGGTACTGCCCATGTCAGTGTCCACTTCCCCCCGAGGTGGCAGGTAGACCTCAGACCGAGACACCTGCCAGGACCCACCAGTCTCTGCCCTGCTTTCTTTATGCCCTACCTTTCTTCCCTGAGTGAGCATGGCTATCTGGGGGTTCCTCCATGCCAAGCCACCCGCACCCAGCATGGTGGGCTTCCTTGTGGGCCGGGGGCCCTTGGGTTGAGAGCAGTATTTTAGCACAAACACCAGTCAGGCACATCCAGCTGGAATCTCAGCTGGGCACTGACTGCCCAGCAAAGGGCCTAGGGGTGGACACCCTGGGAAGACGGGGCAGAGGTGGAGGCCCCCAGCCATCTGAGGAGGAATGAATGGAACCAAAGTGTGCCTTTGGCTAATCCTCCTTCTAACAGAAGTTATTCATCATCAAATAAAATGCCTTCACAGTCTTAGAATTTCCCATGAAAATAATTTTCCTGCTATTTCAAATTATTCTGCCACCCTTTGTGGCGTGCATTATTTCAGAGATCAAGGCTTATTGCAAAGGAGGCCTTGTCGGGGCGTGGGGAGTGCCGTTTTGTTCTAGGAGCGCTGGTGCGCTGGCTCAGGCTGTGTTTTTCACTGGGGCCTTTTCATTGGAGACAAGCAGTGTAACAGAACGAGCTGTGTACCTCCATCCTAACACTGTTACTAATGTTTGGAGGTTCAGGTCACTTTTGTGGGCCCTGAACGCACACAATCTCTTTGTCTTGGAAGAGTTTTGTACTGAGCAGTGCGTCCATGTGCCGCACGTCAGGTTTGCGTTTTGTACTCTGTGCCATTGTTCGCACACTCTTGGCATCATTAATGTGCAGAAGGGACTGTGTTTTGCAAAGCCCAATTGATCACATCCTGATCAAGTGTAATTTCTTCTCAGTGGAGGGAAGGTTCTCACAGGCCAGACAGAGACAATGGGGTTTTCTTACCACATCCTGATTCCCAGGGAGCCCTGTCAGCCTCCCATAGAGCTTCAGTGCTGGGCAAGGACCCCAAGCCTCCAAGACCACTCTTAATGCCACAAGAGCTCTCTGGGGTCCATGACCTCAGCCCAGCCTGTCTGAGGACATGCCCTCTCTCTGCAGGGACAGTGGCACAGTGACGTGTTCAGCGGACAGGGCCGTATGGCCCACTGCTCAGGGGTCATGTACGATGGGATGTGGATCAATGGCCACCCTGTGGGTAAGTGTCCCCTGTCCCCACCCCATCAGCAGAGTTCACTTGTGGGGTCACTTGCAGTCCAGCCATGTCCCCTCTTGAGGGCTGATGGCCTCTGGGCAGTCACATGGGTTGTGGGACCAAGAACACAGGGGGAAGTGCTGGGACAAAGGGAGATCTGGAATTCCATCTAGAAAAAGAATGTTCTTATTTGATTTCAAAGTAGCTCCTGAACGTGCAAAGGCCCTGGACTGATGTTAGATCCAAGTGGTCAGGGAAGCTGTGGGCAGGACCTTATGACCCCTGGCCAGAGTCTGGGTGGCCTGGACTCCATTGTGACTGTGAGCTAAGAGCCAAATAACTCAGCTCCTCTGTCAGAGCAGCTACCAGTTGGGCATGACAAGAGCATGGCCACCAAGCAGGCAGAGACCATCTTGGGGCAGGGACTACTATATGGTGGGGGTCACTGGGGGTCCAGGGCAGGCTGCTCCCTTCACCCTCTTGGTGGCAGCTGGGCAGCCTCCTACCAGACTCCAGGGTGATGATGGCCATCCAGTGCCCTACTTGACCAGGGACATGGTCCCTCATCCAAACCTTGGTGCCAAACCATGACAGAGGTGTGGTGGCTGCTCAGGTAGCAGACTTTGGGTGTGCTTCTATGGACCTGTGTGTCCATGAGGCCAGGGTCCAGGCAGCTGTTGCACACCTCTGCACTTGGATACTGGGACCCACTGAGACCCCTGAGCAAGGGTCATACATACATAGCCACTAAGCTCGGCTCAGACACCCATCCCTACAGAACTTGGGTGAGTCTTAGGGAAAATGGAACATGGAGTGTTGTGTTTTGGGGTTCTTGTCAGCACCCACAAGTGTACCATAGGTGTACTGACAGCCACTCCCATAGCATAGGCCAGATTCTGGCCCAGATATCTCTCCCCTAGGACATCCTTCAGAGGGGCCCTGGATCCTTCCTAGCTGGATCCTTAGGGTCCTCCAGCCAACAGGAATCATTTCCCCTTGAGGGAAGGAGGCCAGCTTCTAACCCACCACCACCACCATCAAAGATCTGCTCATTCTTTGCATGGATGAGAAAAACCCGGGGCATCAGTCTGAAGCACAGGACATTGGATGCAGGGTGTGGGACTTGGAGCATGGCCTCAACCCACCCTTGATGGGATCCCAGCCCAGCCTGCTGAGCCCTGCCACCTGCTTCTAAGTTGAGGGTGTGCATAGCCTCAGTGGGGGACCCAGAACAGAGCAGGTCACTCCCAAGGTGAGGTGACATTTCCAGGCTGGCCCCTCTCCATATCTTCTCTAGCCCCAAAACCACCATGCTGTCCCACTGAGTCCATGTGACCACTTCAACATGTGACCACGTCCACGAGCCTGTGTGGCCCTGCCCTGCCAGGCCTCTGTGGATAGAGTGTGGAGGCCACACCTTAAGATTAGCCTCAGACCCTAAGCACTTCCCCAACCTTGGCTTCTAAGGACCCTGCATGTACTACTTTGCCAGAGGTGAGAGGACAGTTGGGAACTGGTGGAGGCGGGAAGCAGCAGGTACACTGAAAACATGGCCGTGGCTGCTGAGCCACAGAGGTACCCAGGCCGGCCCGTGGAGCAGGGGTGTCCTGACCGCCAGGCTGTGCTGGCCAGACGTGGGCCACTCCTGCTGTCAGCCTGAGCAGTACCTCCTCCCGCTCTCCTGACTCAGCTGCAGGGAATGCTGGGCCCAACCCGGCCTGCAGCGAGACATGCCGCAACATTCCACCCTAACAGCAAGCTTCCACGCCTCTCCGATGCTCACCGCCTCTCTTTCAGCTGTTAGTGGGCCTCTGAGGCCCCTCTTCAGTATAATCCATTCAGTTCCAAAATGAGTCACCTTACTTAGTTATGGCTGACCCTCATGGAGCTACTTCTGTGTGAACTTGTCACCACCTGAACTTTAATGACAAACTAAGTTACTCCTTGCTTACCAGTCATCTGCTGGTGTTTATAGCTGCACCCATACCAAGCCTCTCACACCACAGTCCAGAAAGGCCCACAGCCCAGGATGTGAAGCCCCTTGAAGGGGAGAGGCCCCCATGGAGTTACTATGATTGAGGGGGAGAGGCCAGCGCAGGGGTGTTCATCAGTGCTTGGGCTCCTTGCCTCCCAGAGCCCCAGGACAGGTTCCTAGCCACCCACTAAAGTTTCCTCTGCTCTCCTCCAGAACAGGCCACGAGGATCAGGATTTTGGGTCCAGAGGTGATGGATGTGGTCCAAGGAGCCTCCATCACGCTGAATGTCCAGCTGCAGCAGGACGATGGCAAGGTGGCCAAGAGTAAGTGTCTGTAGACTGCCTTCCAAACTTGTGAGATAAGCATGTGTCAGGCTCATAGGTAGCAAAAACACAGACATGACGTCACGTGTGGCTTTTGGCATCCCAGACTCACTGTGGTGACCTTGTGGTGACCTTGTTCATAAGCTCCTGTTGCTGGAGCCTTCTCAGAAGGGTATTTGAGCACTCTTACTGGTAAGGGTGGGAGCTCTGGTAGCATAGTGGCTAAGACACTTGCCTGCTAACCAGAGGGCTGGCGGTTCAAACCCACCAGCCACTCCTCGGAAGGAAGGTTGGGCAATCCTACTTCTGTAGTGATACTGCCTCGGAAACCCAAGGAGGGGTCGCTATGAGTTGGGTTTGACTCGACGGCACATAACAACAACAACAACACTGGTAGGGGCAGCTGTGTGCATGTGTGTAAGCATGTGTGTTCATGTATATGTGCGTATGATGTGTGCATGTGTGTGTGTACCTGTGTACAAATGCATGCGTGAGCCTGTGTGTGTGCATGCATGTGCTGTGTGCACATGGGCCTGCGTGTGTGTGCATATTAGCTCTCACCCACCCACAGTTATCATACATCTTGCAGAGTGCAGGAGACAGATTGAACACTGTAGTGTGACTGTGTGCAGACAGAGGCCGTGTAGGTGTGGGTGGCCAGTGGCTCCACCGGGCAAGGGGAGTGCTTCTCATTGTCCCTTTGGATATAATCAACGAAAAATAGATTTCCAATAGTCTGGGCTACTTTTTAGGTCATGAAACCAGCCCTGCCTCGTTACAGAAGGATGGACAAGATGCCTCCACAAAGCCTTTCCACTAGGAAGCCAGGAGTACCTGGGGAGGTTGGTACACAGTCGAGAGAGGGAAAGTTCCAGTCATGGCAGCCAGGCTGCAGAGCTGTGGGCATGCAGCTGGCCTGACGTCCCCACCTGTGCCATTACTGTGGTGGATCGCCCTGCTAATGAACCATGCCCATGATCCTTAATATACATGAATTCACCTTAGTTCAAGCTCTAACTAGTCAACCATGATGTGTAATATACATCAAATCTATTTAGTCACATTGGTTTATTTTAACAACTTTATTGGCATATGATTTACATATCATAAAATTCATTCACATTAAGTGATTCAGTGATTTTTAGTAAATTTACAGAGTTGGGCAACCACCGCTCCAACTTGGTGTTAGAATACTTCCATCATCCCAGACAGATCCTGCATTCCTGTTAGCAGTTAATCCTTGTTCCCGCCCCAGCCCTAGGCAACTGCTAACCTACTTTCTGTCTCTATGGATTTGCCTTTTCTGGACATTTCATCCAAATGAAATCATAAAACACATGGTCTTTTGTGTCTGGCTTCTTTTACTTAGCATAATGTCTTTGAGGTTCACTCATGTTGTAGCATGTATCAGAACTTCATTAATTTTTTTTATCAATAATATTCCATTATATCAATATATCATATTTTGTCTGTCCATTCCTCAATAGGTGAATTGTTTTCAGATTTTGGCTATGACAGATAGTGCTGGTATGAACATTCATGTGTGGACATAGATTTTCATTTCTCATAGGTACATACCTAAGAGTGAAATTGCTGGATCAGATGGTAGATTTATGTTTAAATATTTAAAGAAACTGCCAAATCATTTTCCAGAGTGGTGGTACCATTTTGCATTCCCACCAGCAATGTATGAGGGCTCCAATTTCTCCATATTCTCACCAATACTTGTTACTGTCCTTATCTGTCATTTTATTATAGCCATCCTAATGGGTGTAAAGTGACATCTCAATGTGGTTTTGATATTGAGCATCTTTTCATATGCCTATTTGCCATTCACTTTTTCATGGGGAAATGTGTATTCAAATATTTGTATTGGATTGTGTGCCTTCTTATTTCGAGTTATAAGAGTTCTCAATATATTCTGAATATAAATCTTTTATCAGATAAATCTTTGCAAATATTATCTCCCTTTGAAGTACAAAAGTCCTAAATTTTTATGATGTCCATTTTATCATTTTTTTTTCTTTTATGGTCATGTTTTTGGTACTGTACCAAGAATCCTTTGCATAACCAAAAGTCACAAAGATTTACTCCTGTGGTTTTCTCGAAGTTTTTATAGTCTTCACTCTTACATTTAGATATGTGAACTATTTTGAGTTAATTTTTGTGGATAAAAGTCTAAAACAATCTCTTTTTTGTGTGTTGGTATCTGGTTGTCACAGCCCCATTTGTTGAAGACTATTCTTTTTGCATTAATAATGGTACCTTTTTCAAAAATTAGTTGATCGTTGGTGGCAGGATATAAGATCAACATCCAAAAATCAGTTGGATTCCTCTACACCAGCAAAAAGATTGCTGAAGAAGGAATAAGGAATTCAATATCATTTACAATAGCTACCAAAAAAATAAAATATTTGGGAATAAATCTT